CTTCCTTTTAAAAATGTTGAGGTTTTTTTTTTTTTTTTTTTGAGTATATTAATTTACATGTGAATCAGCCCAAACTTTTGGAGGCTTTATTTTTAAGTTTTGTTCGGGTGGATCTAGAGCAGTACTGTTCAATAGGAGTTTCTGCAGTAATGGAAATGTTTTGTATCTGTACTTTTCAATATGGTAGCCACTAGTCACATTTGGCTACTAAACACTTGAAATGTGCCTAGTACAATTAAGGAACTAAATTTTAAATTTTAATTAATTTAAATAACATTTGGCTAGTGGCTACTGTATTGGACCATGCAGATCTAGAGTTACCTCAACTCTTGTGCCAATTTATTCTTACTCCTAAGGAGTGATCTTCCTGAAGTCTTTATACTAAATGGCCTGCAGGTTTGGTGAGGCATCTCTGGCTTTTTAGAACTTGAATGTCCCCTAGTCTCATGCAAGCTGCAGCAGTTGTTCAGTTTACAGCTCCCCAGTAGTTATTCTTTAGCCAAAAATTGACCTTCCTGGCCCTGTAGAGTCTCATCCTACCCACATACAGTTTAATACTCAGCTGAACACTCAAGGGTACCCCTATCCAGGTTTCTAGAACTCTGTGTGTGTGTGTGTGTGTGTGTGTGTGTGTGTGTGTGTTCTGGTACTGTGCCCCACAAATTTCAGCTTCCTCAGCCTTCCTAACCAACCATCTCTATCTCTTTAGCTCAGCGAGATAACCAACCTCTGCTTGGGTTCCCTGACCCTGTGCAGCAGCCTCCAGCTGAGGTGATACAGGGCTTATCTCATTTGTTTCCCCTCTCTCGAGGATCACAGTACTGCACTGGCTGTTGTTTAGTATCTGAAAAGTTTAGTATTTTTGTCCAGTTTTCTAGTTGTTTATGGCAGAAGAACTAGTCTGGCACCAGTTACTCCATCTTGTTTTCAAGCCAGTAGATTATGTCTTACTAACACCTCTGTTCTCAATCCAGTGGTAATGGTTGCTGCCTTTGTTGGAGACTGTAGCACATTAAATTGGAGATTTTTTCATCCTGGCAAAATTATGAATTTTGTTCATTCTTCATAAGGATAGCAATTGATGTAGGGATCCTGCTATTTACAAAATGTTCACAACAAATAGTTATTCAATGTATGTCACAAATTAGTGGGTTAAATTTTTAAGTACTTAAAGATATAAGTATTGAGACTACATTTCTACCCTGAGATGAGAAAGAGAGACAGATATAAGTTTGGTGTGTTTATTTTTAATGGAAGAATAAACAATCACTATTTAAAAATCCACCTGTAACATCTTCTGTTGTACTATTACTGCCCAATAGCCAGTCTTTCCCAGTCTTTACAACAGCCCATAGAAGAAGGCAGTGCTGTAATCTCCATTTTACACAAGGAAACTGAGACATAGAGAGGTTAAGCAACATTAACAGGGTCACAGCTAGTAAATGGCAAAACTGAGATTTATATGCAATTTGTCTTGCTTCAAAGCCCATGTTTTTAACTGCAAACTTTCAGAAGGTCTAACAGTGTGAACAGTATGCATATGAGTATTTGAGATGTAAATTTTATATATACATAGTCACTGCATTCCCATTTTCAGATAAAGAAACTGGGAATGAACAAAGTTAACTGACTTTCTTGGTGTCACAGATAGTAAAAGGTAGATTTGGGATTGCAACTATGTGTTTGGGTCAAAGAACTATCTATGTGGATAGTCATCAGAGTTCTATTTTTTTTTATGAAAAAGTGATATATTGGAAACAAAAGTAGGGGTATACATTAAGTAAGTCATGGTATAATGCAAGTGATAAAATCCATACAACTATTTTTTTTTAATGTGAAAGAATACTGCCAGGGTGAAAAGTGGTATGCAAAAGGATAAATATTTGCTTTAAACATATAAACATTTATGTGAAGACCTACTTACCCTTGGTTTATCCCTAAAATGCTGAAACAAACAATGTTTTTATTGATAAACATATTGAGACTTAAGGTGATATGTTTCCAAGGAAATAATGTAAGGGAAAAATCCTTGCTTTATAGTAATTTCTGCTATGAAATAGGCTTTGTTACAGAATTACTTCTGTTTCTCTTTTAGTCTACAAATTCCTATTTTTTCCACCTAACTACTTTCATTTTATCTATTCCAAATATTTACAAGACTAGATTTCCTTTCACAAATGATTTATGTTCTGTGTAATTTTTCTGGAAGCTGTTGGCAGGGGTCTGGTAACCATTAGTTTAAAAAAAAAAGACAAATTCTTTTCTAGGAAAAACTATAGTCTCCATGTTTTTCAACTCCGAAATCTTTAATCTTCATATTAAAATAATTAACATATTCAGATTGGCTTTTTATTGGCCTAAATAGCTGTTATAAGAAAAAAACTACTTGGCAGAGTAATGGTGAGTAAAGAGGAATTATATGAAGGCAGGAATAAAGAAAACAGCTCTCTGCCCTCAGTTTCCTTTCATGCAGAAGGCATAGGCTTGCACCAGCTTTAAGACTGCAACAGTAGAGCTGAAATCCCTAAAGGTAATGTGACTGATGCTCTTATACCAAGCCAAGCAAGCTTTATACCAGCTTCTCAGTAGTGTCTTGCTCCCTGTTGTGGGCTACTAGTGCAAGTTCAACCCTCCTGAACCTTTCATTCTGTTCAGGAGAAAGAGCCTCCGGGCTGACACACCAGTTCATAGAGGGTCTTGAAGAGTCTGGAGATGAAGTGAAGATGAGATGGCCTCAGACTGAAAAATATTTCCACCTACCTCCATTATTTCCAGTATCATATTGAGGGATTTCTTTTGTGACATATGGTCACCCCACCTGAGAATTCTACAGAGTATATGAAAGGCAAAGCCTGACTCTCACCTTCACTCATAGCAGCTGTCCCTAAACTCATAGTTACTGTGGTTATTAAATTACTCATAGGGAATTGATCTGTTATAGAAATTACAAGAATATTTATAAATATGTCTTCCCTCACATGTTTGCTTTAGGAGAGGTTTCATTAGATGGGCCCTTCTTTGTGTCTGAAAGTCTGTAAGACTACAATCTCCTCAAATCTTTTCCTGTAAGTATAGACCATTATTTTAAATGTGATTTTAAATATCAGTGTTTACGTTTTTGGAGAACTATTATTGCTTGAAATTCATGTTAGAAACAGAAAGATTGCATCATATATTTAAATAACCAGATGTGTCATTTTTTTTAAAGGAACCATTTTTTAAAATAAATTTATTTAATTTTGGCTGCATTGGGTCTTCGCTGCTGCGCTCGGGCTTTCTCTAGTTGTGGTGAGCAGGGGCTACTCTTTGTTGCAGTGTGCAGGCTTCTCATTGCGGTGGCTTCTCTTGTTGCGGAGCATGGGCTCTAGGCGCGCAGGCTTCAGTAGTTGTGGCACGCGGGCTCTAGAGTGCAGGCTCAGTAGTTGTGGCAGGCGGGCTTAGTTGCTCTGTTGCATGTGGGATCTTCCTGGACCAGGGCTTGAACCTGTGTCCCCTGCATTGGCAGGCGGATTCTTAACCATTGCACCATCAGGGGAGTCCCAGATGTGTCATTTTTTTAAATGTTGAAATTTAAAAATAACTTGGAAGAATTTGTTTTTGTCAATGTTGTCAGATATTAGTTATGTTAACATTCATATTATGAATAACAAATATATTCTTTTTTTTTTTTTGTGGTACGCGGGCCTCTCACTGCTGTGGCCTCTCCCGCTGCGGAGCACAAGCTCCGGACTTGCAGGCCCAGCGGCCACGGCTCACGGGCCCAGCCGCTCCGCAGCATGTGGGATCCTCCCGGACTGGGGCACGAACCCGTGTCCCCTGCATCGGCAGGCGGACTCGCAACCACTGCACCACCAGGGAAGCACAACAAATATATTCTTAAAGAAAAATCGGAAAATACAGATAAGCAAAAAGAACATTTAAAAATTTCACCCAGGGAATTCCCCGGCAGTCCAGTGGTTAGGACTCTGCCCTTTCAATGCCGAGGGCTCCCATTCAGTCCTTGGTGGGGGAGCTAAGATCCTGCAAGCTGTGAGGCGCAGCCAAAAAAAAAAAAAATTTCACCCATTTAGAAATAATTTAGAAGAGGAAGAAGGAATCAATAAAGGTAAAAGACGTAATTACTATTTCATCTGTTTTTAAGATGCATATCTTCAAATTTTAACATCTTTGAAATCAGAATGTGTGAAGGAGTTTCCCTTTTTTAGTGGTACATATAACAGCAATGCATCTTAAATTTGATGGTCTTGTATTCAATGAAATACAGTAATAGATTCATTGTTGTTCGGGGTATAGATCCTTACAAATAGAATAGCAAATCTGAGTGACAAAACTGCATTGCACAAATTGCTTGCACTGATTTGAGGAAGCATTTCCAATAGCAAAGTGCCTGTCTGGAACTGGTGTCTAAGGCTTGCTGAACTCTGATTCCGTTTCTGTCCTCCTCTTCACTGCCGTACCACTCAAGAGGCAAAAGGGAAATAGATGGGACTTGGTCCTGGCATTTTAGAGGGTGGCCTTAGCAACCATGCTTTAAGTCCCACAGAGAAGAGACTGGCAGGAGCATCCTTCCTCAGGCCCTCTCACCTTCACTTCATCTCCAACAGAAAGTACAAATCACTGATTAGTTTTTGAGACAGTAAATAGCTGTTAAATTTAGAAAATCTTTGATAAGAGTGACTTTTATGCTCTTGTGTAATATTTCATGTTAAGTGGTTTGTTTCACTTACTGGGTAGTAAATATTTCTATTTCATTACCCTTCTCATCTTTTTATTATAGTATACAAGGAGATAGCTGTTTAATTCAAAATAACATCAATATATAATCAGATAGATTTTTCAGATTTACCCTGTACATATCTATATATTATTTAAATGCAAGGCAAGTATCATGTATATATGTACTTAATTTTTTTAAGCTATTTTATTTTTATAAAACCTGTAGTTTGAGTTTTCTTCTAACTAGGAATTTAATGATTTCTTCCATTTATATATTCATGCAGGAAACAATGAAGAATGAAAAATATAAAGAAGAAATTAAAATGAAAACCAAAGACTTTTATGAAAAAGAAAAACTCCTCAGAGAAGAGCGCAACAAGGAACACTTGGCTCCACCAGTTCAAACTCAGATTAAAGGGCATGCCTCCGCTCCGTACTTTGGAAAAGAAGAATCCTCGGTGGCTCCCACCAGCACTGGTAAAACCTTTCAGCCAGGATCCTGGATGCCACAAGATGGCAAGAGCCACAATCAATGAATGCACTGTGGTAAAATCATTTCATTTATATATGTATGTGACTATTTTAACAAGTAAAAGTAAAAAGTTACTTTGTGGGCTTCCCTGGTGGCGCAGTGCTTGAGAGTCCGCCTGCCGATGCAGGAGACGCGGGTTCGTGCCCCGTTTCGGGAAGATCCCACATGCCGCGGAGCGGCTGGGCCCGTGAGCCATGGCCACTGAGCCTGCGCGTCCGGAGCCTGTGCTCCGCAAATGGGAGAGGCCACAACAGTGAGAGGCCCGCATAACGCAAGAAAAAAAAAAAAAAAAAAAAAAAAAAAGTTACTTTGTATTTTCTGACTGTACAATAGTTCTCTATTCCAGTAAACTTAAGAACTTGTTTTTACTATGCATAAGAAGTGAGGTTATGAACTATAGGAACCTAACTTCTTTTAGACTTAAATCCTTCACTTGATTTAGTCATCATTCTCTGTTTATGAATTTGCTTAGTTTTTTTCCTCTTTGAGTTGCTCCCTTGAGAAGTATCTTGTAGCTGTAAATGCTGAGTACATTTTAGATCCTTACGATCATTTAGAAACCACCCAAAATATATCTTGGTAGAAAATTATAAGGGTAGATATTGAACTGTCCTAAATGATCAATTTCTGTAGAGGCACTCTGTAAGATTCTAAAGAACTAATCAAAAACATGAACTTGGATAAAACACGTGGAGGCCAAGAAAATTTATTTGATAAATGAAAAACACCCTATGATATTGATGAGTAGATGGGACAAAAGCTATTTTATGGTGGAATTGAGGTTGGAGTTTTAAAGAAGGAATTAGGACCAATGGAAGTAGACAATCTATCACAAAAGTCTGAAAAGATGGTAAACAGAAATGGTACAGAAATTGCAGTTCTGTGAGATTAAAAATTACTTTGAAGAAATAGAAAATAGGGCAGAGTTCTCAGAATGTGATTCCACTGATAGTGGAGATTACAGTGATTTCTATATTGGAGAAAATTATAGACAGATGACAACATTAAAACAGATTATATATAAAAGTGTCATACATTTTCTGAAGTGCACAACCAAGTTTTTGTTGCTAACAGAGTTCTAATTCTAATATAGAGGTCTTCTAACAGTGTTTGACATTGTAGCAACTACTCAATAAATATGGACTGAGATTTTTACTTAATATTAGAAGGTAAAATTTTTAATTGCTTAAGAAATAGACTACAGGAAAATACAACTTTATAAAGTGTTATACTAAAACAAGTAATTAAATGTAATCACCATAACACTCATGAAATGACAAAAAAATAAAAAGCCCCTAGGTGGTAATATTAACGTTCCAGCAGCCCTGTTAATATCAAGTTAATCATTCTGTCTCTTTACATTACTCCAAAGTCGTATTACATTTTACCAAAGAGGCAAAAAAGGAACTAGCTATTAGGCAATATAAAGAGATAAAATTTGTTGTATAATTGACTGTAAAGTAAGATGTTCTTGAACCCCAGGTTACAAGAAAAACTGTAAATTCTAACATGCTAGAATAGAATGTGTCTACTACCAAATTCCTATCAGCTTATTAACTGTATTCTATATACATATTTTACAAAGGTTTGTCGTGTTGGATGT